TGGTGCATGCGCCTTGCTGGTGCTGGTGGGGTCGGCAGGCAACATATGCACGTGCTTGTGGCTCATGGAGGCTTTGAACGCCATGCATGGTCTTGTGCGTTGTTGCATAGGCCCTTACACCTGCTGGCTGCAGACCTGAATCTGTTCTCGTTTTTAGACTTCTAACAAAAAAAAAAACAGATTGAGAATTCTCAAAAAAACAGATTCTGCATCGGGCCTTACACCTGCTGGCTGCAGAGCTCATTGTGAAGCTGCTTCCTGGCTTGCTGCCTGGCTTGCAACAGGGTCGTGATCTTTGTGCATATGTTGCAACCAACTTGTTACCACATGTTCACTGGCATTCCCACATGCAGCAAGGTACACCGCCCACACAGACTCATCCCATGCGCTGCATTTATGCTCTGCAACAGGCTGCCTTTTGCCGCAAATGCTGTAACTGCACCCCCGTCTGCTCACTCACACTCACTCTCGTACCCTCGTCACCTGTCCTTCCCTGTGTTCTCGTGTGTCGCTAGTGGGTTTGTGCAGTGCGGTCAGCCTTTCAGCGCCATCCCGTGGTCTACAGGTGAGCACTGGCCACCCACGCACCACACACCTGAAGAATCTCCAGTGCCCTTGACTCCAGGGTTTAGGGTTTAGGGCAGCAGCCGAGAAGAAGGTTTCTCTCTTGTGACTCCAGAACCTGCTAGAACCTTCAAAGCGCAACGCAACGGGCGCATGCAGCTCACAGCAAGGGGACGGCCCTGGCCATCCAATAACGTTTCCGAGGTCCCCATGCGTCCCCCCCCATTCCCACCGCACCAGTATCGGCAGCAACGAGGAGTTCTCATTCGAGCAGGACATCGGGTCCCTCCTGCACACCACACCGCTCACCTTCGACCCCTTCGTGCCCCCCGCCTTTGCCGACTTCATGAACCAGTCCCTCCACTGCCTCTCCTTCTTCTCCACCGGCCTCTCCTCCCACGCAAGCCTTGAGAAAACCCGCGCTGAGAACCCCGAGCAGGAGTTTTTGACGCTGCCCGGGTTGATGGCGCGGCACGGGCATGCGTATGTGGATGTGTTGAAACTGGACTGAGAGGGGTGCGAGGAGGAGGTGCTCCTGGAACTGGACTCTACTGTGTTTCCCTCCCAGCTGCCCCACGTGGGGTGGTTGAAAGAGGAGGGGGAAGAGGAGGGTGTGGGGGGTGGTGAGCGGAGGAGGGAAGGACGGGGGGAGGTGGTGGTTGGTGGTGGTGGAAGGAGGGGGTTAGAGGGGACGGGGGTGGTGGCGAGAGGCGGTGGCGAGGGCATGGTGCGAGGTGGTGAGGGGGGGAAGGTTCCTTCGGTGGGTCAGATCCTGGTGGAGATGCATAGGTGAGTCAGAAGCGATGCCTTGCTGTGGTGGACGTGGCAAGAGAGCAACGGCAGTATAGACGAGGAAGGCAGGTACCACATGGCACTGTGGCACGTAGCAGCATGGTTAGGTACTCAACCGACCCATGGGATGCACCAGCTCCGGCTGTTTGCAATCGTGTGCACGCACCATTCATGTTAGCCATCCAGTTGGGCCTATCCTCATCGCAACCGCATGCCGCCCGCCCACCTGCACGCCACCTCTCCCATCCTTATCACGCCACACCGTCCTCATGTCATGTCCACATCCCCATTCCCCCCTCTCCCCCCCTTGCCTCAGGGTGAACGACTCAGCAGCGACGCTGGCAGTGGTGCGGCATCTGGAGCAGCTGGGCTACCGCCTGTTCCATGTGGAGCCCAACCCCGTTGCACCTGCACACTGCGTGGAGCTCGCCTTGATCCACCAGCACCTCGTTGCTGTTTGAATTGAGTCAACAGCCATCAAGGAAAGCCCAACCTCGCCGCGCGTGCACTCTGTGTGCAGCTTGCATTCGTCCACCAACGCAGCCCCACCCCCTCTGCCGCCCCTTTGCATTCGGAAGCTTCCAGAGAGGGACTCTCTTTCTCTCTTTCCCTCGACCACACACAGTGCAGTTCCAGTAACACCACTGCCACTCCGTGTTCCCCTGGAATGTTGTCGCTGGGAGCTGGACCGAGCTATACGTTTTGTTAGGTTATCTGTTGGAAGGCAAGGCAGTCCTTTCCGGACCCTGGCATTGAAAATAATCAGCCACGTACACATGAAACTGAATGTATGAATGAATAAAGCATATGCTCCTTCAACTACCATACCAGCACCAGCTAGCCATTCCAGTGATACCACCAGTGACCCTGTAATCTTCACAAGCTCTGACCAAGGAGAACATGTGCACTGCAGGTTGCAATTGCAACCCCTCCAGTCCCATGAATCGTCCAATCCCATCAGCGCATGAGCCACCCCTTCTTAGGGTCCACTCTCACAGGCTTCTCCAGCAGGGCATTCCACTGCACATGCACGCCTCCCCCGTCACTCTCCCCCACGCCACCCCTGGGCAGCATGTGCCAGTGCAGGCGCTTGTACCCCAGCCCCTCCACCAGTGCCACATAGAGCGGTAGGTCGCGCAGGGGGAGAAGCAGAGAGTCGAGCCAGAGCACGCCCCCCACCCGCAGCACACGGTCCCACTCGAAGAGCATGTGCTCCCAGGGGAGGAGAGGGACGGGCGGGGTGTGCATGCAGGTGGCGCCGCAGTGGATGATGTCGAGTGTGTTGTCAAACAGTGGTACGCGTTGCTGGCATGGTGGGGCAGGGGATAAGGAAGGGGTGAGAACGGGGAGAGGGGGGAGAGCGAGGCGGTGCATGCAGGTGATGTCCAATGTGTTGTCAAATAGTGGTAGCCGTTGCTGGCAGGGCGGGGATGGTGGTGGAGGAACGGGGGCCGAGGGGAGACGGGAGGAGGAAAGGGGTAATGTGGTGTGATGTGGTGATGGAGGGTGTGGTGTGAGTTGCTGTAGTTTGATGTGTTTGAAAGTGCAGGCACAATCATTCCAGTAGGGCAGTTCCAGACAGATCCATTCTGAGAAAAGCATGTCAGCACGACACAGCACAGCACCGCACAGCACTGCCGCACAGCCCAGCCCAGCCCAGCCCAGCCCAGCCCAGCCCAGCCCAGCCCAGCAAGCACCGAGTGGGGCACGTGTAGCGGAATGAGTCCTCTGAGAGCAATGGTCTCCATGTACGGGGTGCCCTGGGCCTGCATTGACGCCCGCCCCGTGCCCTGTGCCTCCGCATTGATGGCCGTGGTGAGCACCGTCACGTTGTACCGTGCCATGTGCGCCGCCCAGCTGCCTGTCCCGCCCCCCACGTCCAGCCCGATTCTGTAGAGAGAGGTACGGGGAAAAGGGAGAGTTGATGGCTGTGGTGAGGACTGTCACGTGGTACCGTGGCATTAGCACTGCCCAGCTGCCCGTGCCACGCCCCACGTCCAGCCCGATCCTGGAGTGGAGGGGAAGGAGGGCTGATGGTCGTGGTGGTCCCGTTGCGTTTACTGTGCTTGTACCCATGATGCGCCAGGGACGGATGGGACGAGGATAGTGGATGAGGACGCGAGAGGAGAGAAGAGGGGAAAAGATGGGGCTGAAGGGACGCGAGGGTTGCGGCGGTGGTTGGACATGGTCCGACTGCTTTGAGCTGTGCTCGTGCGCTAGATTCCAGCTTTCTATGCCCGCTGCTGCTCGTCCCACATGAAGTACCATTCGTCTCGTCTCCATCAAAAACCCCTAGCGCCTTGTCTCTCAACTTCTCTACTCCATCCAGCTTCCAATCCTTTCTTCCCACCCCCTCCCCCTTCACAGCACCAGCGCGCACCTGAGAGAGCCCTGCTTCCACCGCACCACGTCCTGCACAGAGAGCGCCCCTCGGAAGCGCGACTGCCAGCGGCGGCTCTGCACGCTCATGTTGAAGCACTGCCCGCACTCGCTGTCCACGCTGTTGGTGTTGCTGTTGAGGCACTCGTACGACTTGCACGCGTGGTGCTGCCAGCGCACTGCTGCATCCTGCAGGGCCAGCTGGGAGAAGAGCGACTGCGGGAATGGCATGGGCTGGCAGGGGGTGGAGTGGAGAAGGGAAGGGAGGAAAGAGGAGGGGGTTGCACGCAGTCACACGGGGACGAGAGAGTGGTGCAGTTTAGAGGATTATCGTCTGTCGTCCTTGTTGAATTGAAAAAAAACAAAGCCATTGTTGTGGAATCCCAGAAGCACTCTAACGTCCCTCAACCATCCCCACCTTGGCGGCAACGGTGAGAAACAAGAAACTGGTTGCAGCACAGCAGCACCTGTGTGGTCAAAGTTACACCCCCCCAGCGTGGCAATGAGAAGGAAGGAGTGCAGCAGGTCGAGCTCAGTGACTGACCTCGACGTGGGTGGTGGGCGTGCGGGAGAGGCAGCGGCGCATGGGCAGGGCGAAGCAGTGGCGGAGGAAGAGCAGCGCCTGTGTGTCGAGCCAGTCGTCAGGGCACATGTGGCGCGGCTTGTAGTCCAGGTACTGCATCAGCTCCTCCTCACTGCCCTCACACGCGTACGCCTGATGGGCACGGGGCGGCATGGTTTTGCATGATTGGTGGGCTTGCAGGGGAAGTGAGATGATGATACTGGTGGCTGGCCGTACACACAGAATGGAACATTTGGTCAGCTGTATGTGGCTCACTTGTAATGGATGGATATAGGTACAGGAGGAGGAAGAGGAGGAAGGAGGGAAAGAAGTCACAATGTCCCCACGCACGCGCACGCGTGCGCAAGCTGTGAAGTAGGAAGGAACACGGAGAGGCAAGGTCATGTGTTGTGTGGGCAAGGGGAAGGCATGGGAGCAACGGGTGCTGCCGTGACGGCCTTGTACCTAGGCACAAGGAGGGCGGGAAGCACTTGCCATGCACACACCACTCCACTCCACGCTCTGTGGTCACTCTGCCCGCCCCTCTCTCAGTTTCTCTGCCCGCCCCTCTCTCAGTTTCTCTGCCCGCCCCTCTCTCAGTTTCTCTTGCAAGGGATCGCATTGCTTGTGCTCAGCCCCCCCACCCCAGCGCCCAGCAAAACGCATTCCCCTCTGTCTGATTCATGGGGTCAGTCATGATGGGGCGAGCAGAGCGCATCTGACCTTCCAGACGTGTGAGGGGTGTGAGAGCAGCATGCCCGTGCCCGTGCACGATGCCACCACTGCTCGTGCTCTCTCCATCGCCTGCCGTGCCACCGCACACAGACACACACCAGCACACACAGACACACACCAGCACACACAGATACACACCAGCACACACAGATACACACCAGCACACACAGATACACACCAGCACACACAGATACACACCAGCACACACAGATACACATCAGCACACACAGACACACACCAGCACACACAGACACACACCAGCACACACAGGCACACACCAGCACACACAGACACACACCAGCACACACAGGCACACACCAGCACACACAGATACACACCAGCACACACAGATACACATCAGCACACACAGACACACACCAGCACACACAGACACACACCAGCACACACAGGCACACACCAGCGCATGCCCCACGAGTGGACGTCGTGTGTGTGCATGCACGCATGGGGAGCGGACGCGAGAGAGAGGGAGGGGAAGGAGGCAGGCAGGAGAAAGCAAAGGAATGAGAGCGTCTGCTACAGTCAATCGTGGGCAGTGAGGCACATAGCAGCGAGACGATACACGTGTTTCAAGGCACACACTGGTATACGCAATTGAACAGTGCTTGCATTCCGTAAAGCACAAAACGACCGTGCAAGGCTCTGCCTGCGCAATGCTCTCATCCCCCACCCTCTACTATGCACAAAAGGACCGTACAAGCCCCCTTGCGCTGACCGATTTGGGCATGAGGCGAGCGGCCCAGTTGAGGGCGGGCGATGCGATCTGCTTGTCCAGGCGCTGCCTTGCTGTGGTGATTCGCCTCAGCTCCCTCTGACATGCATGCACCGCGGTACACACACACGCACGCACGCACGCACGCACGCACGCACGCACGCACGCACGCACGCACGCACGCACGCACGCACACACACACACACACACACACACACACACACACACACACACACACAGGAGACAGAGCCAGACTCAGACACGGACACAGACACAGGAAGAGGCAGAGGCAGAGGCGCAGACAGACACAGGCACAGGCACAGGCACAGGCATAGACACAGGCACAGGCACAGGCACAGGCACAGGCACAGGCACAGGCACAGGCACAGGCACAGGCAAGCACACACACAGACATACTCACATGCGCGTGCGCGCACACACACACGTGGACAGAGGCGAGGAAGGCATGGGTACGGTGGGCTCAAGTAAGTCAAAAGACCATCAATCATGCATTCCTCTGCCGTTCCATCCCATTCTCGTCCCATCAACCCTACCTCCCTGCTTATCCACCCATCTCCCCCATCGCACCTGCTCCCACATCCCTCGCCCCCACTCGTCCTTCCTCCCCACTTGCCCCTTCCTCCACTTGTCCCTCCCCCCCACTCGCCCCTCCCCCCTTCTCCCCCCCACCCCCCCGCCTCCCACCTTCTTCTCAGCCATCTCAGCGTCCATGCGTGCCAGGCGCCCCATCTGATCGCGCAGCTTCTTGCGCCACCCCACCCCGCCCACCGCCAGCAGTGCGCGCTGCCCGCCCAATCCCACCCTCGCCGCACCACCCCACTCGTCCCCCGCTGCCCCTCCTGCACGCATTGAGGGCGCCGCTTCTTGATCCACCCCTGCCGCGATCGCATTGCTGCCACTGTCCCCACCGCTGCTCCCCTCATCCCCTTGCCTCCACCCATCCGATTGTCCTTCCCTCGCCTCCTCAACGTCTTGCCTCCTCCCACCCATGCCACCAATGCCACCCATGTCATTCAGCATTCTCGGGTCATCTTCCAAGCCCCTGCCAGCTGGAGGCTCCCCGTGCACGCCAGCTGGCATGTGAAACGTGGCGGCGTGCCATTGGCGCAGCTGCTCCAGCTCCTGCTTGCACGTCAGGGGCTCGCCGCGCTGGGTGCTGCGGAGAGGCGAGACAGTGAAGGGGAAAGAAGGGGAGGGAGGGAGAGGAGGGAGGGGATGGGGAAAGAGCGGGGGGTGGGGCGGGGGAGTGAGGGGGAGGGTTGGGAAGCGGGCGGCAGGGATACAGAAGGATGTGCGGGCAGGCACTGGCGCTTGGCGTTGGGTTTGTTGAGAGGCTCTTGCAAGAAGAGAGAGGCTCGGTCCATCGGCAACGGATATTTCACCACTCCGCTCCACCCAACAGCCTGGGTGAAGCCATTCTGTGAGCAAGCCAACGCCATGACGACACGACACGTGGGTATCTGGAGAGTCGACGCGACTAGAATCAGGACACGTGGGTACGTGCGTGGATGAGATGATGTGATGCCTCGACAGGCGCACCGCACCTGGAGCGTCGAGATAGAAGAGAGCGAATAGAGGGTAGGAAGCTGGACGCTCCCACTGACGACGCTGCGACGCTGCTGGTGCGACTGGCAGGCGACGTCGCATGCGATGCATGCGGTGTGAGCGACAGCGAGGATGCGAGAATCGCTAGCGCGAGAAGGGAGGCGCCTGACATCCGGCGATACGCGCTATCGCGCCGGGCGATCGTCATAGAACGCTGAGTGGCGTGGATTCGAAGGGCATCCCTCGACCGCGAATTCGACAGCGTGAGAGTTGATTAGGATCAAGACGTTTCTCGAACCAAACCTGGACCGCGCTGGATCGGTGTCAGATAATCATGTCGCTACTTTGCATGTGTACCAGTGATTATAAATGGACAGGGGCACCCCGTTGAGCGGTTTGGTGGAGAGGAGAATGTAGTTGCTGAACGGCGGCTAGTTGCAGGTGATGTGTTGCCAACACCCCTCAGGCCACACACAAGCAAATGCAACCACGGTACGCCCTGCAAGAGTAGTATCCCGCTACGCCCTAATGTGAACTTATAGTGAATGCAGATAACAATATGCAAATAACACGTTAGCACATTGAGTTGTAAAATTCTAGCTATTCATGTAGTCTCAGGGGTGCATTTCCACATTAAGCCGTATTACAGGTACAAATGCAATATCACTGACTATTTGGTGCCTAGCAGTTACTACGGTAAAAGCGTGTTTCTACAGCCGCATATCAGGCCAACTGCTAGAGTGCCAGCGTAACGCAAACGTGTTTGTAGAAGAAACTAGTTAGGAAACTTGCAATTCCAACATGTTGCAAAGATAGAATGACTGTGTGACACATAGTAGGCAGTGTATTTATGCATCTACACTTCCCAAATGACCCTATTCACACCAATAATGGTGTACCTATCAGGGCCCTCGCTATCAGACATTTTTGTCTGTTTTTTCTGAGAAATTAGACAGATTTTTTTTTCAGATATCTGATTTCCAAGATTTTTTTATACCGTCTGATTGATCAGAAATGTTTTTCAGTTTTCATCTGTTCTATCAGACACGTGTTTCCTGTTTCGCCTGAAATCGAAACATGGCATATCACGATTCCCAGCGGTGAGAAGCGAATCTCTGCCGTGACGGTGCCTGAATCTCTGCTGTGACAGGTTGACTCAGGGTACATTCATATGGCGGGTCTGACATCAGGTCATCCGCCCTTAGTCTCTGATTTGTCTCTTCTCAATGTTGATTTGCCCCTATTTTGAACCACTTCGGGTCTTCCGAGCTTCTAAGGACGGATGACCTGATGTCAGACACGAGGTAGGAATGTACCCTCATTGTGTCAGGGCGAACAACGAGTCCCTCTTGTGATAGGGCGAGCGTTAGTGGTGGGAAAGGGCAAATGTGGTGTGATGACGAGGCGAATGCGGTGTGAAGGGGCGATTGTGGTGCGACAGGGCGAGTGTTGTGTGCCCTTCGAATGAATGTGAAAAGATCGATCCGGAGGCAAAATTTTTTATGCATCAGACGGGCCCGAAGGGCCCGTCTGATCCATCAGGGGGGTTCAAAACCTAGCGAGGACCCTGGTACCTAAAATTCCACCCTCTACCCTCCAATAATTCTCAACTCCAATCATTGTGGCCCTACAATAATTGTGACTATTATCGTTGGCCCTGAAGGCTTCTAAATGGTGTTACGAATAGTGAAATACTATTTGTTACGATATGAAGTTTTATAAGAAGGCATTCCTGTATGCTGCAGGAGCCGACTCTACCGAGTACGAAGTCGAGAAGTCAGAAGAGTCGAAGCGACACAGCAACCGTCTGATCAAGACCGATGCAGGCAGAAACATTTGAAGTGAAAAGAGCGGGAACAGGTTTGAAACTGATTCCCGCGCCGCACGGTTTGAATTTCGCTGGAATAAGGGAATGTACCCCTTAGAGTACATGGCTAGTCTAGGTCGTTTCGTATTCCTTTGTATTTCTATATAAACCCTATGTATGCATGCTATTATCATCTCAGTCATTTTACATTCACTCTGACCTGAGTTCACTACTTCCGCTGCGACACTACCTGCGATCAACCCTGAATGATCCTCCTTTTTGCTAAGTCACACTTCAGATTGTAACAGGTATCAGAGATGCTCAGGGATTCTTCGCAACGTCACTTCCGTAAAATTCGCCAAACCAAGATCTGGCGAGCGGCACACGATCCAAGACCAAGATGGCCGGAGGATCTGGAGGTCAAACAAATCTAACGGCCGAAGGACAAACCAACCCGGCTGCGACAAATGAGGCGACAACCACGATCGGCACTGCCGCGCTCGAGCAGTTATTCGCTCGACTGTCAACAATGGAGAAAGAACTCCAAGATCTGCGCAAAGGCGATGCGGGAACCACTTCCCAACTAGTCCAACCTGGACAACCGGCTGCGAAAAGCCGCGATACCGCCGCGCACGGCTTCTCCCTCGACTCAGACAAATCTGCAACAACTGCCCCTCGTCCAAGCGACGAAACAATCAACTCTGCGCAAGCACGCTTTCTCAGCTTGTCAAAAATCAAGACTACCACCGTGTTTGACAACAAAGACGTTTATACATGGAGTTTTGAGCTTGAGCTCCTCCTACAAACAGCGCAGATCTACCACTACTTCGACGGCTCCTATCCTAAACCGGTGGAAGACACCGAAGACGCCCGGGCTCAATACTACAGTGGGTCACTCATGGCGTATAGCGTCCTGCTGCGCAACATGTCGCCTGCAGAACAGCTCGGCATCCGCTCTTATAAAGAGAGCGCCGCTCCAGCCCTAGAAGCCTGGAAGCACCTCGTGGAGGTATATCAGCCGAAGGATTCCGTCACTGCAAGTCGTCTCCTGCAACAACTCATGGAGACCAAAATGGAGCACGGGGAGAAAGCAAGCAGCTATATCAACCGTTGTCGGAACATCCGTGATCAAATCATCAAGAACGGAAGTTCTATCTCGGAGGAGATAGTCGTCAACATCATCCTCCAGGGACTTGGGCCCGAGTGGAAGCCCTGCAAGGCGCTACTTCGACAACGAGGACAGCTCTCAGAAGCCGCGCTATGCGCCGCACTGCTGACCGAACAGTAGGACATGGACTCGAGCAGAACGAGTTCAGCGCCGCGCCGAGAGCGACTCGCCTTCTGCACAGACAACCGTGAAGAGCGACGACAACCAAGGCGCCATTACTGCAAAATATGCAAAGTCTTCGGACATTCAACGGATCGATGCAAATCCCGATTCAACAATCGCCACCCAAATTCCACTCACCACAACAACTGGGTCGGCCGACAAAACGTTCGTCACTCACAGCCTCAACAACCAGCTTCCCGTCCTCCTACACAGCAACAACAACAACAGACACAAGGACCTCAAGGAGGAGCCCCTATAAATGTAATAGCGAACATGGCGACGCGACGCCGCCGTACTACTGAACCAGACAAAGAAAACGAACTTGAAGGAGGACTGCTGCAACCAGAAGAAGGATGGAATAATCCTCTTACAGAGGATCACTACTATCGGTACGACGAAGACGAACAGGATTGGAATCAACCAATCACGCTGCGGGAAAGCTCGCCACATGACAACCAACTCTACGTACCCGTCGGATGGAAGGAAAATGAAGACCCGTCCTTCCACAGACGCTACAAGGCGACGCTGGTGACTCCGCGATTCGCGCTACTGCTCCGCAACAACAACAACAAGGACAACTACAACACCTGGTACATGGACAGCTGCTGCGAACAACACTTGGTGGGCTCTATTCGTTACGTTTCAAACCTCAGCCGCGCCCCCGCAACCTACGTCACCGTCGCTAACAATCATCAGCTGCGGGCCAAGTCACAAGGCATCGTCGTCCTGCAGGCACGAGACAACAACACACACATCTCGTTCAACGACGTGCTTTACGTCCCGGACCTGCGCTTTAATCTGATTTCGGCAGGGCAGCTTCGCGACTGCGGCGTCATATTCACCACCGACCTGGCCACACGCGACCTCATCCTCACGTACGCCCCTCCGGACACACCTCCCGAGTCATTTACATACCTCGGTTGAGCCCGTTCAATCAACGGGATTTATGTCCTGGACTTCGACGTACCAAGCTGTGAAGCCTCATCCGATGAGCTCGTGGACCTTGTCCCCCTCTAATTCGTCTTCATGAGCAAAGAATCGTGGAAACATCCTGATGGGCGACCGTGGATCCGCCGTAGCCCTCATCCGCGCGAAATCAATCTACATAACCCAGACATCAACGGGCTCTGCACGACCAGCCACACACCCGCGGCAAGTTGCACGGAGCAAGTCGAAAGAGAGTACGCGGCGATCCAGGAGGCAGAAAGCGCCGAGGAGGAACCAACTGGCATTACCAAAGAAGAGCTCGCTGTAGCAACTCACCTCATCTTCGGAGAAGAAAACAAGCAGTTCGGTCAACAGCCGGTGCCGCGCCCAACGCCGCGCTCTGACACCCTCCGCTTCATGCTAGAGGCTAACACTGGCACAAAGGACGAGAAGGGTCGCCCACGCCCGTACACTTGGAAAGTCTATCGCCGCGAAATTGACCCGGCCTGGAAAGACCCTGACGAACTAGATGAGTTGAGCGTCAAGGAGGAACAAGACAAGGCCAGGGCAGAAAAAAAGCAAAAGCTATACGAAGAGCGCGTTGCGGCAGGCTGGAGTGAAGAGTCTGCACGCCGAGGCGGATGGGGAGACGACGACTACGAGCCAGAGGCCGGCGCTACCTGGGCATCAGCTACTGGCGCTTGGGGAGCCAGCGACAGCGGCGTGGTTACTACTGGAGGGTGGAGAACGGAAGAAACACCTGAAACGGAACTGACACAAGAGGTGCTAGAGGAAGCAGAACGGGAGATGCACACCAAACGCGGAGAGGAATCACCCCGCGTCGCCATACCCCTCGGGAGACCGCCACCTACACGCTCTCCTCCCCGCTCACCCTGGCGCTGGGACAGTACCTGGACGGAGCTTGAGGAGGGGAACGTACCTCCAACTCCACCCCGAGACTCCCTTGGTCCAATCTCCCGTCCAGATCCATTCGCTCGCCTAATCGAAGGCACGACAACGCCGCTGACCATCATCCCCGACCGCGAATTCCTCGATCTTTACCTCACGACCGCACCTGCAGAAGGGGAAACATCTGCAACAGCAGAAG